CACTTACCTTAACCTTTTGTAAGGATGGACTCTGAGGCCTGTGGTGCTTCTCATCCTCCAACACCAGCATCTCCATGGGCAGCTTCTGATGGGTGGTTCCTCGGAGTTTCTGGTGAGCCAAGGACAGGACGGGTTCCGGGCCTGCCTTCAGTGCCTGGGGGGCCAGATAGCCTTGCCCCCAAGGACCTCCTCCTGTGTGACCTCCCAGCCCGTCATCTGCCCCACTCCTGTCTGGTCCAGGAGGCCCCAGGTCAGAGCCGACCTCCCCGGCCCCAACCCCAGTTCAAACACCTGTGTACTGACTGCCCTGTGTCCCCAGCAAAACAGGATTAAGGGCTACTGGAATGAGTTTTCATGAAATTAAACATACTCACTTTTTTCAAGCACTGAGGTTTTGGGTTTTTTTTTCTTTTTGGCGTTTAAAATTCACTCTGATGAAATACTTGAGATGAAATGATAGTTTTTTTCTTTGTTTGTTTGTTTGTTTGTTTAGTGGGCTTGCTTGACAATACAAAAATTTGGCAACTCTGTCAGTTACCAACTTCTTTCCCTCAGATTTTACTGATCCGTGAAATCCTAGAGCATGGAAACTGTTGCTCTCAGGGAACCTGAGGGGTGGGACCCGCAGCTCCCCAGCTCTCAGCTTGATGTGAACTCTAAGTATTAACCTTATTCTCGTTTTAATAATATGGAGGAAACTCTGTCCAAGTCTCCTCCCCGCTTGTAGCTCCAACTTGCCTGGACTACTGCCTCATGGCCGCTTCCTCTCTTCTAAAGGAAAACACTCTTGGTTAAGCGCTGGCGACCCTATCTCTGAAGTCCCCATGTACCGGGAACATTCGTCCAGGCTGGAGGGCGCTGGACGGGGAGGAGTGATCTCCCTTACAGAGCTCTCAGCTGCCTTTGTCGTTGGACACCGAGCTCCGGTGTTACACTCTTCAAGTGTCAGTTGAGGGCTGATTTTCCAGGTCTTTATTTCGAATGTTCTGTTGTCCACTGGCTTCTCCCTTCCATGTCAGGCTTACATGGTTTGAGGTCTCCCCAGTGCCGGCCTCGCCTGAAACACTGGATCCTCACCCAGGGACAAGACCACCTAGGGCTTCAGCTACTACTGCATGCAGGGCCCTGGCTGGGCTCCTGGAGCATCTAGAGTGGGCTTGGTCTTAATCATCTTGGCATCCCCAGCACCGATGACAAGAGTTAGCACACAGTAGGTGCTCAGCAAATGTTTGGAGAATACATGAATGGATGAGTTCACGGATGGTGGCAGGCGGGCTCAGCAGCTCTGCACACCTCCAAGTCCTCAGTGATGACCTAGCCCAGTAAGGCCCCCCGCAAGAGAGCCTCAGCCCCTGGGCTGGTCTCCAAGACCCTCCTTCCCTACCCACCCCATGAAGGGGGTGCAGGCGGAACAGAGGTTCTCCTCTAAGAATGCTGCTGGGCTGGGGCCTGGTGGGAACAACTGGGGACTCTAACGCCTGCCCACGCCTTACCCAGAGTCCATAGCCTCTCGTTTCAGATTTGTCTCTGTAGGTTGGCACACAGTAGGTGCTCAAGAAATGTTTATTGAATTGGGTGTTTGTCGGTGAGACACAAGCCAACAAAACTTCCACCTTCCTTCATAGATGGTTGCACAGAGGAAATGAGAGAGTGCCTGTCCAATGTGTAGCACGGTGCCTGGCATGTAGGAGGCACCAGTGGTGAGGCTGGCTCTGTGGGCACCTGGGGCCCTGACAGCCCTGCTGCTATATTTGTTGGATGAATGAATGGATGAGGACTGCTCCGTGCCCCCTTGCTGAAGGTCTCTCTGTCCAGTAGCAGCATTCCAGAAATGGCCCAGCAACATGACTCCCCTGCCTGGCCCTGGTGCACATGCCCTCGGGGGAGTGAGAAATGACATTCCTGGAGATCCAGGGATGCGCCGGCGGGGCCTCAGCAGGCTCAGTCCAGGTCCTTCCCAGCCAAACCTCCCCTCCCTTCCCTAGCCCTCATCTCTTCTTCCACCAGAGTCCTGACCCTTCCCTCTTCCTCACCTCCATTCAGTCACTCTTCCTTTTTTGAATGGAGTCTACATCTACACTGATTTATCTCCTCCCTCCCATTCCTGTTAGGGCCAGTCTTTCCCCCTCCAAGTCCTTCTCAGGGCTGTCAGAGCTGCCTTCCCCAAACAGGTCAAGTGGCACCACTGTGCCTCACTCAACAACATGCAGTGGCTCCCCACTGCCCACAGAATAAGTATCTTTCACGTGGTCCTCACTGTCTGGTTTGTGCCCTGTCTCCCTTCCCAGCTTCAGCCCCTCCTGCCAGACTTTCTCCCGACGATCATGCTTCCACTCACCCCAACGACAGGCGCCTGTTGTTTCCTTAGCCTGGAATACTCTCCCCCCTCTTGCCCTCCGTCCTTCAAGGGCCGTCCTTGAAGGCCTGGCTCAAATGCCCTCCTGTCCACAGAGAAGTCCTCGAGGGCCCACGGTCGGCATGCCTCATCCACCCTTTGTGCTCCTTCACTTCTGAGTTACACCTCTATTTCACCCTTTTCCACTCTGCCTTGTTTCTTAGTTGGCTGTGCACCTGGAAGATGTCGGCTAAAATGAACACAGAGCTGGTAAAGAGGAGGCGGGGGCTGACCTTCCTGAGCCTCTCATTCCTCCCAGCACTGGACTCTTGGAAGAGTAGACTCTAGGTCAAGTATTCATCTCCATAAAATGAAGAGTAGGACCAGCCCGCACCCTCCTCCCCGACTTCTTTATTCCAGAGAAGATACAGTTGCCCAGAGCCCCATGCTCAGTCGCCTCCCCGGGTGTGGCTGGTGGTCCGGTGTGGCTGGTGGTCCTAGAAAACCCATGCTTCCTTTGCCAGCATCCCTTTCTCACTCTGCTCCCCGTCTTAATCCTTCCTCAGGGACCAAACACTGGAGTTTTTCCTGTCCCAGCCTCCCAGCCGGCAGCTGGGGGACCTCAGGGCCCCAATCCGCAGGCAGCATCCCGGCTGTCCTGCTCTGTGCAGCTCAGCCTGTCTCCTCGAGGCCCAGGTGGGTGGACAGGGTCTCGAGGAACCCAGCTTGGCTCGCCCACTCCACTGTCTCTCAGATTTGGGGGCTGAAGCCTCCGTCTCCCACTGCCAGCAGCCCCCTCTCAGGAGCACCCTGCAGTACAGCCAGCTGGGCCCCTGGGGACACCTGTCCTCCTTCCTGCCAGGTACGGCAGCCAGGCTCTTCCTTCCCTTGACAGCAGAGTTGGGTCTCCTCAGCAACCCCTTGGGCCCCACACCCCGCCCTACCTCATTCTCCTCCTCCTGTGCCAGCCGCTCCTCGATGAGTGCCGCGGCCCTCTGCACCTCCTCGGAGCCCGCCATGGCACCATGCGCAACCCGCCCCTGCAGGCCCCGGGGCCCCAGGGGCTTTATATGCCAGGGCTCCCACCCCCGCCCCGCTAGGCGCCTCTGCCATGAGCTCACCGGCCCAATTCTCCAGCTGCCTCCCGACCTGTCACCTTCACCCCAGGCAGCCCCGAGGAGCAGGAGGCGGCAGGGACAGTTGCCACCCCCCAACCCCTGGCCTATTGGAGCCGGAGGGCCCAGTGCCCCGGGAGCGAGAGCGAGGACTGCGGGAAGGCGCCTGCCCAGCCTCTGTCCTGAGTGCTGAGGCCCAGATGGGCCGGGTAGCCGCGCTGCATAAAGAAAGGATCGCTGGCTGCCCGTAGCCCTGATGGCGGTGCCACCTGCTGGATGCCTGGAAACCCTGCCCAGCCAGTGCCAGTGAGGGAGCCTAAAGGCCAAATGTGGGGACCCAAGATAAGCCCGCATCCCCAGGCCGTCCCGTGAAAAGGCCCTGCCTGCTCTGGGAAGGGGCAAGACTCTGCCTCATCTGGGCTGGAGTGCCAGGCGGTGGGTGGAGGTAAGGGCAGCCGCCTCCCTCTTTGCCCGCAGCTCGCGCAGGCCTTTGCCTCTCTGGGGTCCCACAGCGCCCCCTAGTGAAGCATCGCTGCATTTGGCCGCAAGTCCACTTGTCCCCGACAGACCTCACCCATCAGTCTGTCGCAGGGGGCCTCTGTGGGACTTACAGGGTCTTGCTCCAAGGAGGCACTGGAAGGGCTGGAACGCAGCGGCAAGCCCCGCTGACGAAGACACCAGCTCTGACTGATCGTCCTTCCCTCCCCGGTTTCCCAGTCAGGCCAACCTGACCGGTGCTCACTGAGAAAGAAAAATACTCTCAACTGGAGAAGCAGCAGACCTGTACTGCTCAGTTCCACACCCGGAACTGTGGGAGCGAGGCCTGGGTCACCACGGCCCAGGCTGAACCTGCCAGTGAGCCACAGACGCCACAGCCCTGTGGTTCTGTGACACTCACGTGGCCTGCCCTCAGCTAAACCACCTTATCTGAGGTCCCCCTCTCTGCCGACGTGCACATTTTCCCCTAAGGAAGCACAAGACCCGGCTCCTTCCCTCTGGTTCCCTTGCTGGCAAGCCGACACAGGCTCATCATCGAAATTTATCAGAGGTTTTGCTTTCACGTCGCCAAGGGTACATGCAGCATCTGCAGGACATCCACACACGTCTCAGTCCTGAGGGCCCGGCTCAGGGGGCTGGAGCCGGAAGCCAGCACCCTCGTGCTGCAGGAGCAGAGCAGCAGGTAACTGACGCCGCCTTCCCGAGGTGCTGCCTTCGCTTTCAAAGCTAGTTCACACCTGTTATCCCATGTAATCCTGCCAGCAGCTGAGAGGGGAGGCAGGGCAGGAGGCATCACCTCCACTTTAAAGACAAGCAACGCGGGTTCGGAGGTTAAGTGGCTTTTCCGGAGGACCCACGAGAACACAGGTCCGCATAATGACAGTTCACGGCTCGCTCCACCGTACTCTCTGCGGTGGAGAGCACAGAGCAGTAGCTGCTCTACCCGGAGCAGCTGGGGAGGCCGTGCACCCACCTGCTCCCACCCCAGAACTGGCTCCAGGGCTCCAGAGAGCTACAGGAGAACCCAAAGTCAAAGCCAGGCAAGAGAGAAGGGAGGAGCAAAAGGCTTTATTGATAAATATGCAGACGTGTCTGCACACAGGGACCTGCTGCGGGGCCGTGAGCAGGCTGCAGACCCCCCACTGCCGGGGTTACAGCCAGGAGATGGCCCTGTGCAGGCCTCTGCCATGACAGCCCAGCCATCGGCCTCCACCTCATCTCTGCCAGCTGTGCTGGGGGCTGGGAGAGGCAGAGGCCGGCCTCAGGCTCCCCACCCCCGGGGCTCACGAGTGGTCCCCTCCCCTCTGGGGGGCTGGCACTGGGCCCAGGGCAGAGTCAGGGGGTAGGGGCAAGGGAGGGAGACAGCAGCTGCTTCAGACCCTGAGCAGAAAACCGGAGTGAGCACAGCCGGCAGCACCAGATGACAGATCTGGGCTCCAGGGGCCTCCGGGCTGGCCCTCGTGGCTTGAACCTGCCGCGGGGGAGAGGCAGGGTGGAGGGCCCTGGTTTGCCTTTTCTCTGACAAGGTTGGCAAGGCCCGTGTGTGGCAGCACACTGTTTCCTGGGTGCTAGGCACTGGTGGCCCACGGAGTCCCTGGGAAGCAGCGTCCCCTCAGGGCTCGCCCGGCAGCCATACACGGGAGGCTCCCCCGGAGAAAAGAACGGCTCTCAAAGGCAGCGGCAGGGTGGGGGTGCCTAGTGCTCCAGCCGGGAGGCCTCTCAGCCCTGCAGAGGCCTTCCCTGGTCTCTCTGCCCAGGGGTCCATGGGCTCCTCAGTCCTGGGGCGGCGGGGGCTGGTTAATGATGACCTGGATGACAAAATCTTTCTGGATCTTGGTTTCCTGGAGCCGCGTGCGATCTGTGAGCAGCTTTCCAGAGAAGAACCATCGCTGCCAGGATGGCTCGATGCCCTCCTGGGTGTGCAGCTGCCTCTTGAGCTGCCCCACCGTGTCAGGCAGGCTGGCGCTGAGCCTCACGTCCTTGCCCGTGGAGAGGCGTACCTTCAGCGGGAACTCTCGGCGCACGCTGGGGGTGGGCTCGGGGGGCTCCAGGCTCTCCTCCTCAGTGTGCTCCAGAAGCAGGTTCACGGGTGGCGACAGGCAGTAAATGGGCAGCTGGTAGCGATTGCCCAGCTCATCGTAGCATTCACAGAGGGTGCCTGTGGGAAAGGCAGGGTGGTCAGAGTCGGCTTGAGGACCAACTGATGTGGATTAACTTGTGTCCCCTCCACCAATTTCATGTATTGAAGCCCTAACCCCACCCCCCCAGCGTCACTGTATTTGGAGATAGGGGCCTATATGGGAGTAATTAAGGTTAAATGAGGTCATATAGGTGGGGCCCTGATCCGGTTAGGGTTAGTGCCCTTACAAGAAGAGACACCAGAAAGCTCAAGCTCTCTCTCTTCTCCCACAATGAGGACATAGAGAGCAGGTGGCCATCTACAAGCCAGGAAGAGAACTCTCACCAAAAACCAAATCAGCTGCCACCTTGATCTTGGGCGTCTCGGACTCCAGAACTAAATTTCTGTTGTTTAATAAGCTACCCAGTCTGCAGTATTTTGCTATAGCAGCCTGAGCAGACTGATACACCTGTCATGGTCATCCCACAGTCCTCAAACCCACCCTACAGGCAGGTCTTCCTGGGACAGCTGGTGGGAGCTCGAGGTAGAGGCAGGAAGACCTGGGTTGACATTCTGGCTCCACCAGGTACTGGCTCATTCAACCCCAGAAAATTACTTAACTTTTCATTTGTTCATTCAACAACTCCTTCCTGAGCATATGTGCTGGGTGCTGGGGTTACAAGGATGAATGAAATAGCATAGGCCCTGCTTTTCGTGACTTATACCCAGTGGGCCTCAATCTTCTTACTTGTACAATGTATTACCTGTAGTAATATATTGATATTTACTGTATCTTGAGCACCAACTAAGTGCTGGGACTGGACTAAATGATGTTATGTGTATCTTGTTGAATCCTAACAGCCATCCTATGAGGTTGGTATCACCACTTTATAATTGTTTAGTCACTGAGGCTTTAATTTCAAGAAGCTCACGGTCACATAGCTAGGAAAGAGACACTTGGTTAAAACCCAGTCTCTGACTCTATAGCGTTTCCACTGTTGCCCTCTGCTTTACATAGTCCCAGGGGCCATTATGAAATTAAGTGAGATAATGCAGTAGAAGCTTCTAGCTCGGTGCCCAGCACATAATAATACTCAACAGAACGTTGTTACCTGAGATGTGCTGGGATCTCAAAGGGCCCTGAGCAATCTTTAGCCTGCTCTCATCACACTGCCTTGAGGTTTGCTGGTGTCTTTCCACGCCCTCGTTAGGCAAGCGGGGACTGTGTCTCCTTTTTCTTGATGTCCCACTCCTGGACCATGTTCATGAGGGCTGCTTGAATGAACAAGCGACTAGCCACACCTGCCACCCACTAGCCTGGATGGAAGCTCCTGACATGGGGCTGGCCACTGGCTGTCCCCAACCCTGACGGCCCCCTCGCTCTGGTGGGGAAAGCCCCCGCCCTGCCCGCTCACCATGAGGCAAGGTGATGCTGGCTCCGTCCAGGATGGCCTGAGCCAGCTCGTGGTCGTTGGCCTCGGCTGCGTAGGCGGCAGCCTTGAGGGCATCCCAGATCTCCTTGCGGCCCTCGAAGGCGGGCGCTGTGTCCCAGAACTCGTCCCTCTTGCTCCGCAGCTGCCCGTCGGTCATTGGATAGTCGCTCTTCCACTTCAGCCGCTCCTTCTTCAGGGGCTCGTTGCGTCCTGGGCAGGACAGAAGGGAGAAGCTCAGTATCTAGAAAGCCAGGGCTGTGGTCCACCCTCTCCCAGCCCTGCCTCCCTGGCCCTCACTGCAGTGGCTCCTGAACATTCGGGTCTCCGGGCCCTTTCCTGGAGTCAGGGAAGAGTCTGGAAACTGCACACACCCAACCTGGGGGTGTAAACCACTTCTGTTAGCAAACGCAGCACGCACTGCCTTTGTTGTTGTTGCTGCTGCTGTTTAAGTCTTAATTTTACTCTCTTTCTTTGATAATAAAGTAGGACGTGTTCAGTATTTTTTTAAAATCTGTAAAGAATGTAAAACATTTAAAATCTGAAAAAGATAACTGCCACTGTTTACGGAGCCAGCTTGTGCCAGATCACAGGCTAGGCATTTTAGCCTCAAAATGAGCCGGCAGATGGGGAAACTGAGACCCAAAGAGCTTGTCATTGGTCTAAAGCCACACAGGTACCAATTTAATGCCAGGCTTTCTGACTCAGAAGGCCACCCTCTGACCACTGTCTGTACCGTGCTGCCACTGGGGAAAACTTACTTAAGAATTCCACCATTCAGAAGTAACTACTGCTGACACTTAGACATATTTCCTTCCAGCTTTCTTTCCCCCATTTTTCTCAGTAGAGTTGGGCTCATATCATACAATTTATTTTAAAAATATTCCTTGTTATAAAGAGGATTTAAAGTGTTTTCATGCTGATACACAACTTTCTGTTTATTTCACACTTATATTACTGCCCATGTATATTCCCATGACTACAAATTATAAACGTTTTTAATGTCTTGTTATTAATGTTCCACTATAAAGTTACAAAGAATGTTTTTAGAACCATAACCAACCAACCAAAAACTCCCCGCAGCCTCTGAAGAGGAAAACAATTCTGTTAAATGTCATCATTCTTGTTACCCAGCTCCAAGACAACTCCAGACCTCAGTCAAGATTGAGGGAGGAAGCATCTCTCAAAGGCTTTAGGAAGCTCAGTCACCTCAAGGCTGGAGGCAGAATGAGCCACAGGAGAGTGAGGTCTAGAGTACTTGGCTCCCGCTATAACTCAGATCCTGGGTGAGATGCGGAACTAAAGCTGAGGACTGCCCCCATGGGCTGGGGCAGGAGTGGCGGCTCCTCAGGGGAAGAGAAGGACATTCGCTGTCTACCAACTGTGTGACAGAAAACTGTGTAAGCGCTTTACTTATATATATCATCCCATTTCAGCCTTCCAATGGCTTTAGGTGGTAGGTGTTATTATTACTGCTTCGCAGATTATGGGACAGGCAGCGAGATGAAATGACTCGCCCGAGGTCACACAGTAAGTGACAGAGTGAGAGTTCCACCTCAGGTGAGACGGAATCCACGAACGGCCCTCCTGTGGGTTTGCCGCTGCCAGTGCAGACAGAAAACTCTCAAGCCGGACATTTAATCTGAAGTGTTCCTAGGTTAGCCGAAGGAAATGCAAATCCTCTTTGTAGGAAAATAACTTCAAACCAGGCCTCAAAGAATTCCTGAGATGAAGTTCCAAGAAAAACAAATAATAAGGTCATAGTTTTCTTGTTTTTGTTTTTGTTTTTTAATCACAGCATACAAAGAAACAAGGCAATATGAGTCTGAGCCAGCAAAAACAACAGGCAAAAGAATCAGACTCACAAAGACTTCAGATATGGGATTTACAGACACAGATTACAAAATAACTGAGTTTAAGAAATGAGAGCCTTAAAAATATGAAGAGGGTATGGGAAAAACACCCACATAACTGTCATCAGAAGCGTTCTGTGTGAGCAGTAGAGAAGCACTAGAGATTTTTCTTTATAAGGGGCTACTGATAAATGATGCTGGGACTACACGTTCTCCATATAGAAAAACATGCAACAGGAGCCCTACCTCACGCCAGCCACAAAAATCAAAGCCAGGTGGCTCGGGACTTCCGTGGTGGTGCAGTGGTTAAGAATCTGCACTGCCTGCCAGTGCAGGGGACATGGGTTCGAGCCCAGGTCCGGGAAGATCCCACATGCCGCGGAGCAACTAAGCCCGTGCGCCACAACTACTGAGCCTGTGCTCTAGAGTCCACGAGCCACAACTACTGAGCCCGCGTGCTGCAACTCCTGAAGTCCACGTGCTGTAACTCCTGAAGCCCGCGTGCCTAGAGCCCGTGCTCCGCAACAAGAGAAGCCACCGCAATGAGAAGCCCGCGCACCTCAGCGAAGAGTAGCCCCAGTTCACCGCAACCAGAGAAAGCCCGCACGCGGCAATGAAGACCCAACGCAGCCAAAAATAAATTAAAAGAAAGATAAAGAAAAAAAAGCCAGATGGCTCAAAGGTTTAAGTGTGAACGACAGAAAGGAGGCAGAAAGGCAGCACAGAAAATGACAGTATTGTCCATGTGCTTTTTTGAAAAGGTTTGGCCTGGAGGTGTTTCTGCCTGGATCAATCAAGTAGCTCTGCATCATGATTTCTGACCCCCTTTCTCTTTGATCCTTTAGCATTGATGACTCCCTGACAAGAGCTTTGATCCAACAGGACTCACAGGCATTATGCAGTGACACCCTCGGGACCTCTGGGGTGCGGCATTTCTGCCCCTCCACTCAAGGACCCAGACGTCAGGGCTTTTTAACTTCTTGAGCTGTTTTCTAAAGTTTTCCTTTCTCCTTCCTCTTTGCCAGATGTCACTTCTTACTGGTCTCCATCTAACTGCAGCTCCTATTGGGTAGAGGTCAGGCCCAGCTACTGGGCCACTCCTAATCTGCTGAGAGTTGAGAAAGCTTTGTCAGCACTGTCAAAATTGAGCATATGGCTCTAGGAAAGAGGCTTCCTAAAGAAGAAGGAGACTAGGCTTCAGGACATGTGTTGCTCCTGCTCAGATGCCCCACCACCCCCTTACTTAAATGGTCAGGTTTTGGTTCTGTCCCTGACAATCAAGGTTGCTGGACTGGTGACCTCAGGACACCTGACATGTAACTGTGTATGCATGCATCTCACTCTTTCTTTAATATGAACACAGCCCCATGGTGTCACCTTTCAAAGCTGTCACCTCAGGAGGCCCCCAGTACCTGAGGGATGCTTTGCTCGAATACCTGGCCTTCAGAGTCCCCTCCCCTCCACACGGAGAACAGCATGCTTTCCTGTCTGCGCTGTCAGAGACACACTTCTCACCCCAGGATGGACACGATGCCGGTGAGCCTCCCCAAGTATTAACTGCATCTCCATCACCCAAGACACAAGGGCTTAAAATTTCTTCACCCTGCACGCTGGTCCTTTCAGGCTGAAAATATGAGAAAATATTAGAATGGGGTGGGAAGGGGGAGGGTTGATGTAAGAAAAGGGCAGCAGGAGCCCAGCTGTCTCAGCTGTCACTGCACTTCTTCGCCAGCAGGGGGCAGGCACAGCACATCTGGGCCAGGGGCTGGCTCCCTTCACAGTGAGTCAAACACAACACAAAAATATCCAGCAAAGTTCCCCAGGCCCAAGGCAAGCATGCATAAGAGACATGCCAAAATGTTCAGATCCCTACACATTAATGCTTACAATTTTAGGCACAAATATAGACAAAACAGAAAAGGAAGTTTTTACTCCAAACATTAAAAAAAAGCAAATTGATGATGAGTGTTTTAAATTTCATTTACTTAAAAAAAAAAATGATGTTTTATAGTTAGTTGAGTCAAAAAATATTGGGCAGTGGAAGGGGTGTGAACACTTTTATATGCTGTACAAATTGCTACAAACTTTCTGGAGGGTATTTGCTATGATACCAAAAAACTTAAAAGTGTGCATCCCTTTGGCTCACCGATTTGGTTTCTAAGAAAGTATTCTAAGAAAATAATCACAAGCGTGTGGGGAAAGTTCATCTACAAAGCTATTTAGCTCAACACGGTTTTCTAGAAATAAACTAAATGCACAGGAGGAAGTCTACGTTAACACCTGTGCATCCCTAGCAGCCATTCTGTAATGGGGCAGAAGGAGGCTGAGCAACATGGGGAAATGTGCATTATACAGTGAAAAAAAAAAAAAGGTTAGAGAACAGCCAGTGCACTGTGCTCCAGTTTTTATTTCTAAAAACGTATGTAGGGCTTCCCTGGTGGCGCAGTGGTTGAGAGTCCGCCTGCCGATGCAGGGGACACGGGTTCGTGCCCCTGTCCGGGAGGATTCCACATGCCGCGGAGCGGCTGGGCCCGTGAGCCATGGCCACTGAGCCTGCGAGTCCGGAGCCTGTGCTCCGCAACAGGAGAGGCCACAACAGTGAGAGGCCCGTGTACCGCAAAAAAAAAAAAAAAAAAGTATGTAATATTATATATATTAAAAAGATTGGAAGGATTTACACCAAAATGTTAACAGTGGTTATATCTGATTGGCAGTTACCAATGATTTTATTTTGCTGTTATTTTCCAAGTTTCCAACAATAAGCATTAATTACTTTAGTAATAAGAATAATACAATGAAAGTTGTTGACAAGTATAAAGGGTACATAAAGTTCTGAGGAGCAGCCACAGAAAAGGAGGAAGAGTTTGGGGAGCTGAGGGGTGGGGTTTGAAGGTGGTGGTGAATTGAGAGCCCAAGGCCCACAGCCTCTAGGATTTCAGTTGCTGGCAGCTCTGGGTGACTCTGTTCAGGGCCAGGCAGGCTCTGTTGGTTTCAACAGCAACAGCAGCAGCAGCATCTAGTGGCCTCTACTTATGTCTCCACCTGTCCTAGATAAGCTCCAGGTCAAAAACAGAGTAACAGAAATGGTCCTTATCCCCAGTGAAGTTGACAAAAGAGAGATTTAAAAAACAAAATAAAAGATCAAGGTACACACCTGTATGAGGAGGGACAAAACGCCCATGACAATCATGGGTCTCTGTGATTGTGGTGGGAAGGGAACTGAGCAGAGAATGTATGTTTCTGAGTAGACGCAAAAGCTGGGGTGTTGAGGGTTGCCTGAAACACCACTTGTGTTAGGACCTGCTGAGGTGCTGGTTAAAAAGGCAGCTTCGGACTTCCCTGGTGGTGCAGTGGTTAAGA